AAATTGCTTTAGTACTGATCTCCTACATCTCCCTGGCATTCACAAGCAGCTCATCTTCTCTCTCTCCCATCACAGAAATTCATCGTTTACAACAGACTTCATATAAAACACATGTTCTTCTATGCCACAACCCAGTGGCTAGTGCAAGTTACCAAAAATCAACTCCATTTCCATCTTCTATTAGAATTTTCTCTAGCCTATTTTTCCCACTTCCCAGGAGGTTAGTAACGTAGGCTAGGGACCTCCTCATTCCCTTCTATTGAACCTGTTCTCATTTTGTAGAGTAAGCATTCACCACCAGAATATGTGCATGTATGAGCCCACACGTACCATGGGACACCCACTTCTGTGTACGGGCAGAGGGGAGGGATGGAAGGGGGTCCCCGAGTTCCAGCTGCTGCCCCAGTGAAAAGTTTACATATCTTTGGCAGCCGCTAGGAAAGCACCACAATTCCTTGCTCCCCTTCTTGAAAGGGAAGCCAAGCAAGCAGTGAAAAGCTGTAATGGAAATCTGATGTCTAACGCACAAGGTGGTAGCAAATCCTCAGAAAGAGGTAGGATTTAAACTTGGATGCCTCTCACTGGAGTTGCACCCTGGCTAAGCCTAGCTACTTCCTCACTCAATGCAACAGTAACCCCCAGTCCACTTGGAGCTGTGTATCTTCCCTCATCCCTGGCAGAAGTCGTCGAGAAATTTAATACAGAATTTTGCATTGCATCACTACAGAGGGAGTCCTAACAGTTACCAGTGGCAAATGCTCAGCAGTGTGGTGTCTACATCCTTTAATGCTCCACTTTTAGTTAACAGCCTTGGGGTGGCTTAGCAATATTAATTTAAGAAGCCATAAATATTTTCAATCTTCAATTCTGTTTAGAAGTTTGAGTTCAAGTAAGTTGGTTTAATTGTGACATTTCCCATTCTGCTGGGCCTTTGGCCTTACACATTTTCTTCCTTTGAATTGCAATTCAGATTTCACATACTATTAGCATTATATTCCACCAACAGCACTTACTATGAGTATATTCTCTGAATGGCAAATAGACTCTGAAATGTTTCAAATAAAAGCCTTTCAGCAGAATCTACATAGGCCAGGCTTCTTTTGAAATTACATGAAAGTTAAGAAAGGTGCCTCAGTTTCTGATCTCTTCTGCCTTTGAAATAGCACAGAGGTGCCTTGTATTGTGAAGCATGCAGCAACAATATTAAAAACTGACTTGAAAACAAAGTATTTCAGACTTGGATTTTAATATCAAATTAGGTATCAGCTCAAGGGAAGGACCAGGTGTCATTGTAGATGACCGTATCAGTTCAATGGTCAGCTATTGAAGAAATATGGAAAAAAACGATGAAGATAACAATTTTCACTTTAGAGTGGACCCAGAGCAAAAGCATATTAACCAGCTAAATGGCAGAGAGCAGGCAGACTAAAATTCTGCTGACCTTGTGTTAAAACAAGAGCTAGAAAATAATGAAGTTAAAAATGTGTGTAATGCTTTCTCCACACATTATGATTACACTGTAGAACAGATTATCAATAAGGGTTGTTCACATCCAAGCGCTTAAACAATATTCCAAAAAAGCTCAAGCACTTTTTATGGCTAACCATAATAGACGAAGTAAATTTGGATAGCTTGATTTTTTGCAAAGGACAATAAAGCCAATGAGTCAAGATTTACACCAATTCCTAACAACTGGGAGTGGAGAAACAGAGCCCTGACATTGGGGACAAGTAATTTCCCAGGTAGGCTGCAGGCATTTTATTTCTCTGCCGAGAGTACCAACCACTCTTCCCAATGCCAAGGACAAAACCTGTCTCTTAATCTTGCTAACTGCCAGGTATTACTTCAAGGAGCTCCATTAGAACAGCAGAAGTGCCTGCTGACTTGTATCTTTATGCTGTCAGAATTCAGGACTATTTACTGTTCTAGCAATCACACTTACTCCTAACCATTCAAAACGTAATCTTCTGCTGTGCATAAAACAAAGAAAATCACCGGGGAAAATAATTTCTCAAAAGCAACGCTGTAAAGCTGCACTAGGCAGAATTCAGTCTGGCTGCAGCGATGCTCTCAATTTACAGTTTCAGATTTGAGAATTAAAATCCTGTCTTGTGCAAATGTTTCTACCTTTATGTTATTAAGTTTTCATACACTCAAGAGAGCGACAGAGGTGGATCTACCTAAGAGGTGTGGGATGCCACGTGGGGAAGTCCTCTGAAACTTCCCTAAAGTGACTGGGAACACTTCTCCAGCAATGCTATTCAGCCTAACTAGTCCAAGCAACTAGATAGCAGAAAATCACAGTTAACGTACAATAAAAAACATGCACAGACTGATAGATGTAACATTACCAGTATGCAAAAAGTTAAAATGAAACAAATTAAGAACTCCAAACATTAAATTCAGATTGTTTATTGTAAACAGAATAACTCTAGCACTCTGTCATACTGGCTGTGTCACATGCACCCAATTCCACATCAACTGCTTAAAATAGCACTTGCAAAAGTTACAGTTATGTAATAATAATTTATGGTTTCTTACATAAACTAATTAACAAGCACTAAAATTGAATTACAGTGTATTCTAGGTAGTTTTTTATTGCTTGTAGTCACTGCAGCTTTGGATCCATTAAAATGAATCCATTAGTATGCCTGAGTTTATCAAAATTTTCTGCTGTATCAAACTCAGAAACTGTAAAATGCTGGAGAACACTTAAATGCAATTAAGAGTTGCTGGAAAACTACACGAGCTTCCACATTCAGTCACAGAACTTTGAAATTCTACATTTTTTCCTCTGAGCTTGTGGTAAATACACTGCTATTCCAATTCATTTATAGAATTTGTTAAAATTAGAGTTGATAGTACTTCCATGAATATATATCTCTCTATTTATTTTTACACACGATAGAAGCCATTTCATTTTATTCACTGTAAGAGTGGTATGTTTAAATACTAAATCCCAAAATATATATTTTTATAATATGTTGTCAAAACTTTTAATATATAATACAAATACTTTTACTAAAGGAAAACTATAAACAAAAGTGAAATGCAAGAGGGTAAAAAGCCCATTTTACGTGAAAGATCCATGAAAAATGTGGTGAACAGACACCTTCACTGTTTTTGCTTATACTATGTTTAATATTTTTTCTCTTCAGCCTACAAAAAAATGCTAGTGGCCTTCCTTGGCAACAGGTTACATCAGAAACTATCATCAAATTTATTAAAAAGATGTTGAAACATGTACTGTTAACCTTTAAAACAACTTTTAAATACACTGTATTTATTCAATTAGAAGAGACACTCAGATAAACACCACTTAAGGCCTTTACCCTGTCAAGCATTCATTTAATTTTGCTTCGGAGCCAGTGTAAGAAAGAACATTGATTCAATGACAAGAACAGCCCTATCGAATATAGCAGGATTCTGACGTATGACAACATGAGTGTCACATCAGGGTCTTAGTTTCAGGTTCTCTTAATAAGAAGCAAACTCTCAGTAACACCCCTGATGAGCAGAATTTGATTCTTCAGTGCTTTGCATACTCTATCCTGTCTGAATAATTACAATCAATTTTATGCATTAAACAGGTAGGAAAACTTAGTAAGATGCTCCCTTACCTTTTTCTGTTTGGGGGCTGTCCAAAGCACAAGACCACCCTGCAAGTCAGTAAACTTGGTGAAGATTAGACACCATATAACTGTTTTACCATTTTACTAAATATGGAATATATATACACATAGTATTTGAGCATAATTCTTGATACTTCTGGGTTTTGTGCAGCCTTCTTAAAAGCAGCAGGACCTGAACTGCACCGTGTGCTATAGCAGTACCGCTAACCCTGTACTGCACTGTCCCAAATGCCTTCCTGAAGGACAAGAAGGACCCACACAGATGTATCAGAACAATGACGTATCTGAGTCATTACAGGGCCCATATTGGACATTCACCTGTTCTTGAGTCAAGAACTAACACGTGCTTAAATTTATTTGCACTAGTAAGTACTTTGCTGGACTGAGACCTAACGTAACAAATGAGGCATCATCTCCGTCAGTACATGCGCAACTGAAAACAAAAAATGACACCAAATAAAGTATTTTATATACCAAATGGAAACAATTCACAGTAACACTGAAACACTGAACAGGATGTTGACAGGAACAAGAGACTGGGACAACACTTTTGATAACAAAAATAAGATGCACTATTAAAGTGTTTCCAGCATTTTACTAGTTTTAATATAAAATGTCCCCAAATTTGTATAGAAAGATTAAAATCATGCCCATATCTTCAATTATTCTCATTAAGACAATTCTCTCACTTAACTACTGTCTTGTCAGATTTCCTTCCCCCCCCAGCACTGGTCTTCATAAAACTTAAATAGAAAACATGTTGGTTGCATTAAGGATCAATTAAAAAAGTATCATTCAACACATCACCTCAAAAAATGTGAAAGTCTCTATTTTTAAGAAAAATAGTCGACCTCATCCCAAAAAGGACCTACTTTTCTCACCCCCTCCAGCCCCAATAAGATAAGTATTGGGGATACTAAACTGCGTTTTTCAGGAGTAAGAAGGATATTTCAAGCAATTTTGTTTGTTCTGGAGGGTTATTTTATCAAAATGAAAATTTGAAGGGATATACTATTTTAAAAATATACTGCATCTACAAGTTTTTTTATTATTATTGTTTCCGTTGATTTTGGTTTCCAACAGGTTGTCTGTAATATAAATGACACATGACCACAACTGATTTTTATATACTCTCTATCCCTAACACACAGCTAATGTCAAATGAACCAAGAAGGAATTTGGGACTTTCATAACGGACAGAACCATTTATCCTAATGATCTTTGATCATTTTGTTCATCATGAAGTTCCCTGAAACCATGTCAGCAATGATCATCTTCATCCATTTGGGTTCTTCACAGTTTTGCAGCCATGAAATTGATATGTGGTTTCACC